GTGTGTGTGTGTGTGTGTGTGTGTGTGTGTGTGTGTGTGTGTGTTACAGATGGACTCCCAAAGGTCAGGTGTGGTTGTTGTGGACCGCCTACAGAGACAGATCATTGTCGCTGACTGCCAAGTGTACCTCGCTGTTCTGTCATTTGTCAAACAGGAAATCTCAGGTAAACAATCCCAATCCTAATCCAGATCATATGATCCTCACTGTGAACAGAGCAAACCAGAAATGTACAGCATGTCTCAGCTATAACAGTTAAAATGTACTATGACGTGAGGATTGGACTGTGGTGCGATGTTCACTGCCTGCCACCAAAAGTAAAAGGGTAATTATGTTTTTGCCCATGTCTGCGTGTTTGTCCGGTTTTAATAAAACTATGCAAACGTAATTATTGGATAAACGCTTACACTGATTAACCTTTTAGAGCAGTGGATCAAACTCTGATACACATAGGGGCCAAAATTAGAAACTTTGTCTAAGCCAAGTGACAATTTTTTCCCAATATTTATTCAAAAAAACAAAGTTATAACAGATTTTTTTAGAAAAACAAATTACGCTTTACAAATAATGTTTTGTATAGCATTTAGAACATGCATAGCCTAGATGATAAAAAAAGATAAATTTTAGAAGAACTCATCATTAGCATTCATTTTGCATGTGTTACTCACTATCAATAACTTTTTCATTTAATATTTCGTAGAGATGCATTTTATCACAATCCAGCAAATCAGGTAATAAAAAAAACAAAATCCCTCACTAGAAGTTAAATGATTTGATGTTTAAGTAAAGAGAATACAGAAAAACATAATTAAAGTCGATTCTCTGTTGCTCTTTCTTCGCCAAAATCAAAGATTATTAAAAACTTCAAAGTTAATTTTGTTGGCTTGAAGGTTGGTCAACATTCATGAGAAGAATGAAATAGATACAGTAACAAAAGCAGAAACCAGTAAACTATTTTACATTTAAAACATTACTTGTGGGGCCAGATTAAATCTCAACAAGGGCCAGTTTTGGCCTGCAGGCCTTGAGTTGGTTTTATGTGTTTTAGAGCCACTCCAATTCAAAATGGATACTGACCTTAAACAACACAAAAATGACTGTAAGTCAGTCAGTTTTACAGATACTGACCTTAAATTTGGTGTGATAGTACCTGAGAATTGTATCTGAGCACTAACACCACATAACGTACTGTAATTTATAAGTATTGACCAAAACAAACATAACTTTGTCTTAGTTTAGAATAAGATGATCTTAGTGTAAAACTGGCATGAAAGACAGTGGGTGATATGTGTTCCGTCAAAGCATGTTAGGCCTTTAATGTCTGGAGCCCATCCAAGCCCAAACCTTAACCCTTACAGATTATTGACACAGCACATGGATAATGTATAGAAACAAAGAGATTTGCATTTAAAAGTAAATATATAACATTTCTATGACTAAACCATGTGTATGTTCTTTATTTTTCCACTTCAGCATACATCAAAGGAGGCTGGATTCTCCGTAAAGCATGGAAGATGTATAATAAATGCCACAGTGACATCAGTCAGCTGCAGGAGACCTCCCAGAGGAGGCCCTCCGGAAACCAGGAGTCCCTCTCGGCCGACAACGCCAACCACAACGCTCCGGTGGAGAACGGCGTGACGGCCGAGGCCCTGGACAGGCTCAAAGGCTCCGTCAGCTTCGGCTACGGCCTTTTCCACCTGTGCATCTCCATGGTTCCTCCACACCTGCTCAAGATCATCAACCTGCTGGGTTTCCCTGGAGACCGCCTCCAGGGTCTGTCCTCTCTTATGTACGCGAGCGAGAGCAAGGACATGAAGGCACCGCTGGCAACGTGAGTGCGCTCAGATTTCTTTATTTCTGACAGAGAGGGACAAATTTAACACACAAAATGAATCAAAGTAAAACTATTGACTTTGAGCTTAGTTAAATCAACTTGGCTGCTCTAAACAGTGTTGGTAAATCAGAAATAGACAGTGGAGACACAGTACTGCTAAGTGGCTAATAACGCAACCAGCTTCTCATTTGCTTTTTTGCTAATGTTGTAAACCGCTAGCCAACTGATTAGCTTCCTCTAAATTGGCTTCTGCTCATTTTAAAACCACTAAAAAATTCATGCGTGTAAAATTTTTATTTTTATAACATTTAAATTTGTAAGTTCACATCTAATAAATAAATAATAAATTATTTTTTAACATAGGCCACATTTACACTGCTCCAAGTGCTTTTATTGTTTGCATTATATTTTTTCTTCTTCCACACAATGTGACTAAAATGCTAAAATATCAGTACTTCACCAGTTAGTGGCATGAATGTTAACATATTAAAATATGGAGAAAATAACCTGTTTAACTTGACTAAAGATCTCACAAAACTTACCTTTCTTAATTAGTATTTTGTATACTATATGTAGCATTTACAATTTCCTTTAAATTAACTCTATTTCCTCTGTTATTAATCATTTCAACTCACAGTCAAAGCTGAATTAAGAGCGGTGACAGGATGAAGGTAAAGTCAGATAGATGCAGGGAAAAAAGGGACACAGCTCAGTTGTTTAGGTTTTAAAGTGGTGTGCATGTGTGAAATAAGCGCCTGTGGTTCAGCCCGTGGAGGTGCTGCCACGCTCGAACCCCGTGGTCACGCAGAAACTGTGTTTCGCGGCGCCACGATGCTACCAGTCAGCTGATCTGCTGAGTGCGAGGCAGCGGAGTAGACGTGTAAACACGTGAACGAGCGCTACAAAACCTGTCCCGTAAAGTCCAGCCTAAGAAAACAAATCAACTCTGAGGCGCTTATTAAAAACGTGCAGTCAGAAATCTGAAGTCTTGTTCATATTGTGACACATGAAGTAAATCTCCCTGTTTGTCTCTCAGATTGTTTTTTTTTATTATGACCTGGATGACAGAATCTTCAGCAGCTTTATAAAATAATGTAATAATAATAAATAATAAGTAATAAATATAAAATTTGGCAGCACGGTGGCTCAGTTGGTAGAGCTGTTGTCTCTCAGCAAGAGGGTTGCTGGATCAAATCCCAGCCTGCGACCTTTCTGGGTGTTGTTTAAACATTCTCCCCATGCATGAGTGGGTTTTCTCCAGGTACTTCAGTTTCTTCTCACAGACCAAAAACATGCACCTTAGCTTCACTGCACTGATATAAAGAACTTGTAAGATTTACTTGAAAAAATCCTCGTAACAATTTGCCCTAACATTTGTAAAGTAAATTTAAATGCTACGAATTCAAGTAATATTTACTCATCATTATCTAGTAAAAGTTACTAAGAAAATAGTTAAAGATTTGTGAATAAATCAGGTAAATTTTACATACCATATTTTTCGGACTATAAGCCGCACCGGACTATAAGCCGCACCCGCCATCAAAAAAAAAAACAAAAACGCGCGAACATCAACATATAAGCCGCACCAGACTATAAGCCGCACCCCCCACCCCCCATCAGTAAAAACAAAAACAAAACACTACACCCAAAATTGTGGTCAAAAAAGTGAATTCAACATCACATTTATTTTTAAGAAAAAGKTTGGCAAGTTCACCGGTACAAAATAATAATAATTGTAATAATAATAATAAAAAAAAACTCTCGGAAAAAAAAGAGGCGAGAGGTCTGGAATTAAAACATAAAAAGCAAACCTTTAGAAATTACCGGTAAAGTTCGGAGGAATACGGTTCATTTAACTGACCTTATTTTGGTAGTTTTCTTTAACMGTGTCTGGTCCAACAAAAAGTCTCATTCGGCGCACTGAAACTGTCGAAATCCTCGTCTTCAGTGTCGGAGTTAAACAAGCTGCGTCACACAGCGGTACCTGTTCAGTTTCTGTGTCACTGTCCTCCCGGGCTGGCTCTGAAGCTGTGGTGTCCTCTTCACTTAGCAGTCCAGCCTTTCAGAACCCATTGGTGATGGTGGACTCATTCACTCTGCTCCACGCTGTTAGGATCCACTGGCAGACATCAGGAAATGWYKCTCTTCACATTCGGCCAGTTTTTGTGAATGATTAATCCCCGTCAGCTGGGAAAAGCCCTCTCGCTCCAGCATACGTCAATGCATGGGATTCCTTCCCCGGGGAGTGCAATGCCGAAAAAAAAAGTCAGCAGCTCTTCACTCGACGTTTATCCACAAACTGGTCCTGGATTAAGCTCCAAAGTTTTTATCAGTCAGATTCCACTGTGAAAAATGTCTGTTTTATCCCCTTTTATGAGTTTTTGGCCATTGACTATCTTTAAATCGCTGCTTCCTGGTACAACAGGAAGCTCTGGAAGCGATTGCTTTTTTCTTTTTTTTTCTTATTTTTTTGAAGCGAGCGGTTGAAGCAAATGGAGCATAAGAGCCCCCTGGTGGCTGAAGAAAAAAATCCACGTATAAGCCGCACCGGACTATAAGCCGCATGGTTCAAAGTTCAGGAAAAAAGTCGCAGCTTATAGTCCGAAAAATACGGTAGTTTGCTCATCTATATCTTGTTATGTATACTTGATCAAATTAAGTAAAATTTATTTTAAAAGTTTATATGTGAAAATAATAATTACAAAAAAATATTAAGTAAATATTTTACCTTTTTATTACAAAAATTACTTATTTATACTATTTATTAATTAATTTTTAAAAATTAGTAAATCATGCTCAATTTCTTTTGATAAATACTACTGGATGCTAGTTTGAAGCTAATTTCTTCAAGTCTGAGCAAGCACAGCTAACACTCGTCCGATCGAAGTTTTTCCTCCTCGTAGTTTTGTTATGCAGACAACTAAATATCACCAACATTATACTGTCAAACTATTGCAACAAATGTTTTCAAGAAGCAAAATAAAGGAGACAACTAATGTATCACTTCTTCTCTTCTCCTCACCTTGAAAAGTAGTGAACCAAGCAACGACGAGGAAAGTAGGAGGAGCATGCAGCCTTGTGTGCGCAGATGAAAATTTTTAGAGCAGAGTAATAGAAGTTACTTAATATTTTCATGTTTGTGTGCTGTCCAAAAAAACATTTAAATGTTACTTATAAAACCATATCAGCATTTACTTTCTTTATACAGTACTTTTGCAATATGAATATAATGTGTATTGTTTATTTTGTAATTTATAGTAGTCTATAGATTATGATATTTATTAGTAAACATTAAAAAGAACTACTTAATTTATTTTAATACACCCAAAAGTTTGTTTTTTTCAGTGTGGTGTACACTACTTCTCAAACAAATGCTTGTTTTGTAAATGTAATTATTTTGAACAAAACCAGGTTAAAGTCTGATTAACTGTTTAAAACGCACCAGTCTGTGAGGAACTTCCAGGCCACTTTATTTGTCCAGACCTGCTACTTCAGTGTTTTTCAAAGTTCCACATCCCAAGTCCACATAAATACACTTAAAACGTGCAATTTTTTTTAAATCTCCACCTGAGAAACATTTTTTGTCCTTTAATCTCAGGGTTTTTTAACCAAAAATTGTTTGTATTTGAGCAGAAGGAACAAATGAACTGGACATTCTTTGTTTTTAAATAAATAATTTGGATGAGGACAAATTTCACCCAAACAGAAAATAGTCCGCTCCTCATAAAACTTGTCAAACCTTTATAGTTAGGTCAGTTAAAATACTGTAAATAAACCAAAGCAACATTCAAAAACTGACTGGTGTTTCAAGGTGGTACTGAACTTTTATCATTTTTCAGTTCAAGATTTCTTTAAAAAAAAAACGGTTAATTCAGAGATTGAAAAAGTGAAAACTGTATCTGAGGACTAATCTGGGTCTTGTTTTGTGGCTCAGGTTGGCCCTCTTGTGGTACCACACGGTCGTGCTGCCTTTCTTCGCTCTGGACGGCTCCGACACAACCGAAGGTCTGCTGGAGGCCAAAGCTATTCTGCAGAGAAAGTCGGTGGTTTACCCCAACTCGTCGCTCTTCATGTTCTTCAAAGGACGAGTTCAACGGTTAGAGGTGTGTGGAGCAGGCTCGGGTTGAAGGGTTTGTCTCTGAGCTGACCGGTTCTGAACAGGCAAAATGTGAAACAAGCCTCTGCCGAAGCACATACTTAGCATGCACGTCACACGAGTCGTTCCCTCACCAGCAGCGGCAGCAGGATATTGGTCTGACTCATCACATGTGCTTGTAGTCCACGTCTAACATGATTACTGTTACCTGTCGATGCGTGTGCTCTCTCCTCTGTCCCCAGTGTCGTATCAACAGTGCTTTGGCCTGTTTCCATGATGCATTAGAGCTTGCATCAGACCAAAGAGAGATTCAGCATGTGTGTCTCTATGAGATTGGTACGTTTGTTCTTGTCAGGTTAGTTCGGACACACGGTGACCGTCGGCTCACACAAACCACCCTGTCCTGTCTCTGCCTGTTTGTGGGTCAGGTTGGTGCAGCATGATAGAGCTGAACTTTGAAGACGGCTTCAGGGCGTTTGAGCGGCTGAAGAACGAGTCGCGCTGGTCACAGTGCTACTATGCCTACTTGACTGGAGGTAAGCTGAACGGACTCGAGCACACAACCAGCAGATGTCAGAAGTAGATAAAAAAGTTTTTAGGCAACCCTCAGCTCCAAAAGACTCAAACACATCGAAAAAGAACGATAACACAAAAATCAAAAGCATGTTCAGGAATTTAGTGAGGATTTCATTTCATCACAGAGTTAAAGGTTTATAGTCTATGACAGGGGTGTCAAACTCAGTTAGATAAAGGGGCCAAAACTTCGTCTGAGCCTTTAGGACCAGTCTCTGTCAATATTTATTTAAAAAATATTCTATAACAAATTATTCCTATAGAAAAACAAATCACCAGTGGTGAGCATGGTTCCCTAATACGTTAACTGCTAATAATGAAAAAATGTTTTTGTTTAGCGGATTAGCTTTTACATTAACTTTGAAAACTGTTAGCGGACCAAATAGCTTCCCTTAAATTAGGTTTTGCCAACTTTAAATCTACTAACAGCTAACTAACAAGCTAACATCAACATGCTTTGTGTCAGTCTCACCAGTCTTCAGCTGGAAGGAGACGAAGATACGTGACACAGACTAAATGAGAGCCATCATAGAGCAGTTAGTGTTAGCTTCTGCTTATTTTCATTTTTTTAGAGTTAGCTTTCACTCACTTTTGTATGTTTATGCTAGGTTCACGCTGAACGCATTTTCAGCGTCAAAAACGTGTTCGATATTTCTAGTTGGATGCTTGTGCACTTTGAGGTCAGACTCTAGACGCGTACGTCAGGAAGAGCCTATTGGTTGTTTTCCCCAGCCAGTCTCTCCTCCTCTGTGTACAATGGTGGATGAAATAAAGAAAGTGCTTTTACTTTATTTACTGAGAGCAAGAGCACGTCATGCTCGATTCATAATTAATTCACCAGATAATTCAGAGACATTCTGAGTTTGAGTTTCACCACTCCAAGAGCTGCTTTCAGAACTATTTTTGGCCCGAGTTCGGTTTGACGAGCTGCTGACCCACATCGGTGTCGATATCTCCTGCCAGGACACCGATTACAAAGAGCTCCTGTCCATCTGTCTCAGGTTAGTAGGCATCATTCAGGAGACCGTCCTGTCGGAAAGTTTGTCACATAATGAGGTCTCCCTTTTTGGTTGATGCTCCGCGTCGAGCTACAAAAGTTCAGATTTTCTAACTCCAGCTGCTTTGGGTGCTTAGCACTCAAACCGCATGTACCGCTTCAAAACGTGCCACGCTAAATGTGCTAGATGAGGCTTCTTGACGCCCCTAGACGCGCGTCCACCATAGACTTGGCATGTAAACCTGATGCTCAAAATGCGTTCAGTCTGAACCTAGCATTAGCAATTTAGCATTAACAAAGCTACAGTTTTAGTTAGCAGACTGTGAGTTAATGAAGCTAATTTTTTTTGTTAGCTGTGCCCACCACTGGAAATTACCCTCTTCTAAATTATATTATGTAGAATTTAGAACGTGCATAATGTAGCAAATTAATAAAATAGACTACATTTAGAAAGACATCTTATTACAATCCAGCAAATCAGTTAAAGGGGCAATATCATGTAAAATCAACTTTTTTGAGTTTTATATCATGTTATAATATTATCTTCTCATCAAAAACATGTCCAGAGTCTTACTTTGACTCATTCATGCGCGTTTGAGAAATCCTGTGCTGTCCTGAGGCAGCAGGCAGGGGAGCAGAAACTACCAGTTGGGACTAGAACCACCTTTTGGGACCAGCTCCTCTGGTCTGTGTCTCCAAGCCGAGCTTCCTCGTCACAGAGCACACCTCCCCACCCCGCCCATGACTCCTGCAGACTCTCGGCACCAACAAAGCAAACAAATGGTGAAACTGAAACTATCTGCTGAGCTCCCTAACACTACTCCTGAGCGCAGTCCTTTTCAGATTCAAAAATGTATTTTCAGATGCCAAGTAAACTGCACTGAGCTTTCATATCACAGCCCCCCCCCCCCCACACACACACACACACGTTGAAATGGGCGGGACAGAAGCAGAAGGTGGTTCTTAAAGAGACAGATGCCAATTTCAAGGTGTTTAGAAACGGAAATGATGAGAAGAGTTTTTCTATTTAAACATAAAAAACAGCATTTTAATAACAATTGAAGATGACATAGATGCTTTATTACATTATAGAACTTAAATATATGCCTGAAAAACATAATATTGCCCCTTAAAAAAAGAAAAGTCTCACTAAAATCCAATTATTTCAGTAAAATAAGAAAAAAACGGAAAAAAAGACAATGAAAGTCGATCTTCTGTCCCTCTGTCCACCAAATTTAAAAAAATACTGAAAAAAGTTGGCCAACTGTACTAAACCCAGCAACAACAACAACAAAAAAACTAACTTACATTTAATATATTAACTTTGGGGTGAGATGTAATCTTAATGAGGACCAGATTTGGCCCGTGGGCCTTACGTTTGACACCTTTGGTCTATGAGAAGGCCTAGTCTGGGGGTTGTGTGATGAAAATTGTATAGTTTTGCCACTCTTACCACCTGCTGAGACCCTGTCTTGCACATTGCCCCCAGTCAGAACCAGTTCTCCCATCACTATGAGCTGAGCTTCATATGATTGGTCAGAAATTTGGGGGGGGTTGTTTATGTGAAATGGCTACAGTGAGCTGATCTCTGAGCATCGTAAGAAAAATACAGCCAACTTTACAACTGATGCGTGCTTAACAACCCAAGTAGAAAAAATTAACAAGGTTGAGTCAGGTTCTTTGAATGAGTTCTTTGTTAAAACTTTTCATTTTGTCCAAAAAGCTTCTTCAGTCTGAGGAGTTTCAGGTGAACTCAGTCATAAGCAGTATCTTCACATCGCAACTAAAAATCATTAAGAAAGTCAAGTAAAATTTAATAAAATTATAAAACAACTTGTGGAAGGAGATTGGACAGTTTTGTGCACGCTTGTTAATTTGTATTTAACATTGTGAAAGTACATCCATAACCCTCAGTGATTAAACCATAGAACAAACACGTGTTTAGTAGCACAATATGGTCCACTTCCTTCAGCTTAGTTATGAAAGGTGACTTCTATCTTAGCATTACAACTTTTTTTTACCTTACTGTAATAGCTGGATGAGACATCTGGTATCTCGCAGGGTTTTATCATCTTGACCGTTATCACTCTGACTGTTTGTCCCTAATTTAAAGGGACACCTCCCCCAGCCTGAAGGAGATAAAACTCTTCCTTTCCTTTCCTCATTACTTCTGTCTGGGTTGAGTAATAAGGAGTGAATTCACTCTCATAGGGTTTGTCACAAAAAGTGTCCGAGTGTCAGCAGTGTCCAACTATCAGTTCTGCTTGCTGAGTTTTAGGTATAAAATTTATCAGAAATAAAAATAGGAGTGGTCTTTCAGGTCCCATGTAATTACCCTCCCACAAACTTTTAGAAACTCCAGGTGCACCAATAAATTGGCCAGTCAATTTATCAGCACTGAATTCCTAAATTTTGGGAGATCAGAGATCAGTCAATACTTAGAAAAGATCAGCTTCTCCTCTACCTCCATAAAGGTCTGAAAATCTGCCACTGTCTCCTTTTGCTCTGCTGTGAGCACTATTTAATGTCCAGTTACAAGTTTGTATTGTTTCAAGGGTATTGTTCAATGTTTTTCAATAAAATAAGATTGGAGCATTGATGACAGAAACGCCTTCTCCGGCAGGAGAGAAACCCAGACTGGTACGACTCATGAGGTGCTCAAAAAAATAGGAAAAGTTTATTAACACAGGCTTGCTTCACTGGACAGGCAAAAAAAACTCGAGAACTTCTGCAAGGCAGGTAATGGTCATCAAAAAACTCAGGTTACATCAAGACTTGTGAAATACAAAAATACTTGGAAAGGTTACTCACAGAACAGGACCCGAAAGGGGACAGTTAATCAGGGTTGCCATGGGTCCTTGAAGACCTTGAAAGTTTGTGAATTTGAAAAAAAAATGATTTCAAGGCCCTGGAAAGTCTGTGAAAACAGCCAAAAATTACACTTGTCCTTGAAAGTTCTTCAATGTTTTTTTGGGGATTGAAATTATCAATTCACATGACTGATTTTCATCATTTTTTTAAAAAATTAATTATAAAATTAAAAAAATTACTTACATTTGTTGCGGTGGATAACTCAGGATTACGGTAAACTGACATCATTGTTTCTGACTCAACAACTTCTATGTTGTTCAGTTTTTCATTGAATTTACATGATATTAAACGTGTTTATTGGTAACATTCTGCGGTAGCAGTAGGTAATTGCGTGGTTCTTTAATTTGAGGAAATTGGTACTGGAAAGTCCTTGAAAGGTCCTTGATTTTGATGTTTGCCAAGGTGTGGGAACCCTGATAAATGCACCCACAACCAGACAGACACAGAACAGAACTTAAACACACTGACTGATAGGAGATAGGAGGAGTGGAAACACCTGGGAACACAAGGGAAACACAATCAGTGTAAAGGGGATACACCTGAGACAAACAGAAGGCTGACAGAACCAAACAAAGCCAAAACCCCACTATGAGAATTGAAGGTGTATTGTGACCTTATAACACCAGACAGTGTCAGGTATTTGAAAAATCGATATTGGCCAAAATCCAAATCAGCAGGTCAGACTTTTTAAAGATCTTCCAGAAAACTGCAGTGGGTGCACCCCTAAGTGTGTTCAGTCTGTGTGGTGTTTGAGTCTCACTGTTTCTCCTCTCAGTGTGTCAGGGAGCTTCTGGAGACCTGGATGGAGCGAATGAAGTTTTCAAAGAAGTTCAGAAGCTGTTCAAGAGAAAAAACAACCAGATAGAGCAGTTTGCTGTCAAAAGGGTTGGTCTTTGTGCAACTTCTTACATCTGTTTTTCTTTTCCCTGTTTTGTGAAAATGATTACAAATGTGTTGTTTCCCCACAACCCCCACCCCCCGGCACATGCAGGCTGATAGACTGAGAAAGGTCTCACCCACCAGGCAGCTTTGCATCCTCGGGGTAGTCGAAGTCCTGTATCTGTGGAAAGCGCTCGCAAACTGCTCACCATCCAAGCTGCAGATAATGAATCAGGGTTAGTGCAAAACACGAGACAAACCTGACCACTTCAGCTTCGGCCACATGCTGTACGTGCTTTTGTTTTTTGTCTTGCGTGAGCGTTTCCTGTGGTTCGCACTCAGTGTTGCAGAGCTTGGACGAACCTTCGTGCAGAGGCCTGAAACATCTCCTCCTCGGTTCCATTCACAAATGCCACGGGAACATAAGAGATGCTGTTCAGGTAGTAATCCAGTCTGAAAGTTTTAGCTAATCTAAACTAAGGATTCCTCTCATCTGCTCTCTCATCTTGCCTGTGGTCCAGTTCTTCCAGCTGGCTGTTAGAGACGAGTACGGACGGCAGATCAACTCGTATATTCAGCCGTACGCCGTCTATGAGCTGGGATGTATACTCCTAGCAAAACCAGAGGTTAGTCTTCTGCATGCAGCATGGAAATCTGCCTCTGAAAGGCTGATGATGTTTGTTTTCTGTGTGTAAAAGTGTTGGATATACAACTGCAAGTTACTAACATTTGGAGTCAATGTGATTCAAGATATCTGCCACAGCCAACGGACCTTAACAAACAGGTCAAGTTTACAAATATTAAGCTAAAATGTGGTGTGGTAAAGATGACTTGCAGTGGTGGGCACAGTTCCACTAACCTGCTAAAAATTGAACTATTTTTGTGGTTAGTGGTTTAGCACTCGCATTAACTTTATAAATATTTAACGTTCTCCACTCCTAATAATACTACCAGTCATTTTGTATACCGCTAATAAGTTTGGATAACATCCTGCCACTATTGCCCCCTTTCCACTGTAGCCTCTTCAGCACGGTTCCACTTGGCTCTCCACGGTTCCAAGGCTTTTCCAGTAGCAAGGATCCATGGAACCAGTCCCTTTTTCAGAACTTACCATGAGTGAGAGGTCTGAGGCAGGATGTTTAGAAGGAAGTGAGAGAAACAGAGGGGTGTGGTTAAAAAAAAAACCATATCACCATTTATGTTATTGACACATGATTGTTAAGTATTAGCAGTTTAGAATTAGCTTTTGCCATTATTTTTTTCTGTGTAGCATCTTAGCAGTAGCGGCAGTAAGTAATTTGTGTAGTGGTTTAGATGTTAGCAAAGCTAACATTTTGGTTAGCTGTGCCCACCACCGATGAATCGTTTATCTGATCATTTACTCAGATTTTTTTCTGTTAATCATTTCAGACAGTGGCAAAGGGGAGATCATTCCTACTTCAAGCTAAGGTAAAAAATAAATAAATAAAGACTTAAACGACACATCACAGCGACTGATCACGTTTTTTACTCAATTTCAGGAGGATTTCACAGGCTACGACTTTGAAAACCGACTTCACGTTCGCATCCATTCAGCTTTGGCCTCATTGAAAGAAGTCGTGCCTCAATGACTCCACGAGGGAACGCTTTGTTGAACCAAGCTTTGCCCAAAGTTACAAGTCGTTCACGGCCACTGTTTAACATTCTGGTGAAAAGTCAAATTCCTTTTTTTTAATTGTTTTTAAATGATCAGAAGACATAGTTTGAGAACATGTTTGTCATGTCAGAGTGAAGTTAAAGTGCCATCGCTGTGCATTCATAAAGCGACAGATGCTGACCATACAACTTGTGTTGCTTCAAGCTAAATATTAACACTAGATTTTCTTTACTACAACTAGTAAATATTCCACAACAGAATGATTAAAAAAATGGAATTCAATAAGACAACTCTGGACTTTTATTGGGTGTTTTAGACAAGCTTTAGCTAAAAGGCCCAACATACTCAATCTGAACTGAACAGTCTACTCTTGGTCATGTATGATCGTTTTCAGCTTTCCTATGGCGTAACGCTCCTAATAAACCCCACCCTCCTGATAAATCCCTCCCTCCTGATAAACCCCTTCTTCCTGATAAACCCCTCCCTCCTGATAAACCCCTCCCTCCTGATAAACCCCTCCTGATAAACCCCTCCCTCCTGATAAACCCCACCCACCTGACTAACAAGTGAAGTTATGAACAGTTAGTATATTATTTGTTGTGGATTGCTCTTTGAATAACTTCAGTTTGAAGAAATAGAGTTTAAGTCTGACAGGATAGATGAGCAAGTAGTTAATCGAAATGCAGCCAAAGTGAAAGACCTGCATCTTTACACAAGTCCAGTCTCCAAAATTACTCTGCAGTTCAAACAAATGTCATGTCATAAATCTTTATTCAGCCCCATGGGCAACATGGTTGCCCTCAAAGGGCCAGTTGTAATTAACTTCAATGTTTTGTGTTTATTTTTAAAATGTATTCATTCTTTCATTCATTTAAATAAACTAAAGAAATCTATATACAATAAAAATAAAATGCAAGTCATAAATAAAATGAAAGGACGCAGAAAGAAGAAAAATTCTAATATCTGCCTATTTTTTCAACCCAAAATTAAATTTTAACAAAAGTCAATATAAGGTCCTTCCCAAACACAATTCA